ATAATGACTGAACTAACTTCTTTTGGATGCACAAATTAGGCTTCTTAATATGGATCCCAACAGCCAGCCTCAGCAATATTGAGTAGTCGAACTCCACAAGATGAGCCAGAATAGCGCTGCGAATAGATTTTGTTTGACCTTTGCTTAACCAGGCAGTGTGATGTTCGGAAATTCGACGAGAAAAACGCCTAATTGTACGGCCTATGTAACTGGCTCACTCCACAGGAGCAGTCGAACTGGTATATACACATGGAAGAGGCGAAATTAGGCAGTTTGTCTTTTATTCCCGAACGCAGAAGAGGAGTGGTTTTAAAGATACAGTGTAATTGAGCAGCAGGGAATGCTCTTTTTACCGCATTTCTAAGGCGATGTGTTAGTATCTCACTGGTGTTGTCTCCTAGGAACTGCATCTGTAAGAACAAGGCCTTTCTGGAACTGTTGGTAACTTGGGCTGTTTTGGTTTCAGATTCAGATTCTTGTCAATAAACTTTTCGGGATAACCATTCTCACTTAGCAACCGTTTAATATTGTTAAGCTCCTCGTCAAGACATTCATCCGAGCAAATCTTTCTTGCTCTGTGGACCAAGCACTTTATTAGATTGCATTTGTATTTGAAGGGCAGAAAGCTGAGAAAATGTGTGTACTTGACTGTTGATGTAGGTTTTCGATAAACACTTCTTCTTATTCTGCCGTCCTCTTTTCTGGTCATAAGGACGTCTAAAACTGAAATGCTAGAGTATTTTTCTTTCTCAATAGTAAAATTAATTGCAATATACCTCAACCTTCAACCACTGTCATATATGAACATCTACCTCAGTTGGACATAGAGGGCCCCCCTAGACATCCATTCTTTCTCTGACAATGAGGTTCAGATTGATGTACAGATTATGAATATCTGAATTGTCAATGGGTTGAGATTGTAACCTGAAGGTGCTAGGCACTATCCCTCGTGTGATCGTAGATCTGTACTACTGAGAAGTTGCCAACTAGAACAGAACGACTGTCATTGAAATTAGTCAGAATCCATCTGCATTCCATCCTGTTCTCAGCAGTCCTCATCAGCGGTCCCCACGAGTGTGCATAGTCCCTCATCTTTCCTCCTCCCACGATCTCCTCCATATCACCCTCCTACGCTCCACTCGTCTACTCCCATCTACGTTTCACTACAAATAGGAGAGAACAAAGAAAACTATAAAACTCAAGTTTCGAAGAAGTGTGATTATAATTGATGAGATGATTATGAACAATGAATTTTGTTCGAAACTGTGTTATCCAGTAAATAATACTGTTTCACTGTGTGACATATCTGATAAAAAAAACTAATATGGAATTACTTACTACCACAGTGCCTAAGTTTTACACATATACGTTTCACTCGAGCGATGACCTGGTGATGGCGTGATGTCATTTGATAGTCTCCCCAGTGTGTGTGTGTGTGTGCTTAACCCGTCTCCATTTTCTTCGGCATATTTGCTGGTCAATAAGGTTCTTGGTTAGCTTATCTCAAGGATTCCCTTTTGCTAACCATCACATGTTACGTAAGACTTTAGCGGCCACGAAATTCATGTTATTTTTTGGTAGTTATTAGCTCTAAACATTAGTACTCACTCTAACATTTGTCTCGAAAAAGTAACACTCTCTGTCGGATTGTTAACAGTCGACAATAAAAATTATTAGCGGTAAGAACTTTTAAGGAAAACAGCATTGCAAGTGAAAATGAATTTGCGTACTGATGAAGAGTCCCAAACCAGGACGAAGCAGCTGTCCAGTACTCTAAGGCTTTCCAACCGATGTCAGTTCATGATGAAATCCTTTGACCAACCAATTAATCAAATCCCTACAAACCAATACTTGAAAATGAATCTATTTTCCACTCTAACCTTTGACCTTACGAGGTCACTTTTATGCATAGAGGAAGGAAATATGACTTATTAACACATTTTGTCATTCAAATTTACGCCTAAAATAGCATCACTTTTGTTTATTGTTTTAAACTGCTATATTCAAGGTCAACGTATTGATTAAATTGATTTTGTCAAATAACCCGAAAAGCTACAGGGAGTCTAAATGATATATGTGTTCATTTGGCTCATTCAACGTTATTTATTTGATTATGAAGCGTTTCCCCGTGATAGGTGTATCTACAGTTTCCGTTGGCTGTAGTAGATCAGTACTGAAAATAAAGCGTTTGTTCATATTCCCTCACACACACACACACCTAACTAAACTCGATTACCTTTCATATGTTTGAATTATCAACATTTTCATTAATATTCAGAAACAGTATTCATTGTAATTCATTCGATGTGTACTGATTAATTAATTAATTAATTGGTATCAATGTAGATTTCATCACATGAATCTATATTCATTAGAGCTTCGTCCCAGTGTGAGACTCTTCAATGGTGCTTATCCGAAACCATTCTAAAGAACAGAATCATCTGTCTTTGTGTTGTGAAGCCAATCCCTTGGTTATTCAGTGACCATTTAAAATTCAACTGCTACCGATTCACGATATAACAAGTAAAACTGCCAACTACTACCATCTTTTTATGACCATCCTTTTCACCCTGACATAATGAATGCCAACTGTCGATGACTTCTGATCGGGACTTGAGGATATCATCCATCTTATCGTCGTTAATGATCTGGAGACTGATGCACAGAATGCAGGTGCCTCGATGGGTCAGTCGGTTGACATTGTAACTCGTATACAGGTACTGAGTTCCATCCCTGATGTGTGGTTCGTGAGTGTGTGTTCACTGCTGAAAAGACGCAAACTAGAACGAAACAGATGTCATTGAGATTGATCAAATTGTCTAGAAAATCTGGTCTAATTAATAAATTGTGGAAATAATAAGAAACTGAATTCTTCTGCAACAACTGATTCTTTATTCCCCTTCCATTGAGTGCTCCTTCTAGATTCCTAAGTTACTAACGATCTACCTAGGAATGAATTATCTGACTTCATTCCTGGATGATGAGTGTAACGCTAAGGGGATTCGTAAACTTCTTAGTCCCAATGGGATCGCTATATAATTCCCATGAACACCAACAAACAAGGTTATCAGATTGTGTTGAGGTTATTGATACCACATAGACGCCCCTGACTGAAGTAGGTTTTAGGCGTAGGGTAATTGAACCTATCACCTATTGACTGAATGTCAAGTGAATAAACGGATGAGTCACTTATACATATCAACAAACAAGATATTTGATTGGTGGGTAGTGACTAGCAGTGGGATCCAGGATGCGCATTTCGTCCTATTTGGGACTCATCATCTGGATGACGTTCCCACTGAGACTCGAACCCAGTGTCCATAGACCGAACACTTCGGTCCAATCTATCGACGGAAAATCTAAAATTCAATTAAAAATACAAGATAGACTAAACCAATCAGTTACTAATCCACTGATTTTCTCTTCGTGACAACTCATATCGAAAGTAGTGAAGTGTGAACACTAATCTTAGAGGTCAAAATTCTCACTTATGAATGGATGACTGTACTTTAGTTTCTGTGTTTTACTCAACATCCATTTGCCTATCCATGCTATTGGAAATGAGCCATACCTATTTCAAATGTGCTGTCCATACGTTGGTTCGTGGGATGGTGAGGTCCAGGGTCTGGGCCAACGAGTCACAGCTGCGTAAGAATAGGTTGGGTGCTATAAAGATAATTACGGTAATATGTTATATAGTTGATTATGGTGGACACTGGGATCCACGTTGAGTGTTCTATTCTATATTTGAGAATCGATAGTTGGATATTCCTACATTTCTAGTGGGGGTGATGGAGATAGAACGCAGTTACCTTTGACCATAGGTGTCTGCGTTCTATCTCCCGCGTGAAGTGGTATGATAAGGTGAGCAATATTGAGGTTAGGCGTTGAGTGCTAGGTAAGGAGGGGAAATCAATCGACGAGGCTGTGAAATTACATCGACTGAGATGGTTAGAATATGTGTTACGTATTCCTAGTCATTGCCTTCCTCGACGGACAATGTTAGCTGATATAGGGTCAGGCTGGAAAAGAACTAGCGGCGGTCAAACGAAAACGTGGCACCAGTCAATGAAATCCACAACAGTTAGTCTAGGCCACGTAGGAAGGTGTAGACTTCCCGGTTGGGGTCCTCGAGAAGGCAAAAACCAATGTCGGCTGGAGACAGTTGGTGATATGGCTCAAATTCGTTCTTAATGGCTGGCGCAGATGCATCCACTCCTTGTGACTTATGATTTCCAATTAAACTGTTTTGTTCTTCGTTATTACTATTCCTCTGTTTACTGTCTCTAATATGCATTTCTCCTACTCTCTTCTCTTCCTTTGTGTGCTATATGGAGTGTGGCGACTTGAACTGCCGCACATATGTGCAAAGTTCTATGTCGAAAACAGACAGGAGGTGATGGTGTTCCCACTGAGCCTTGAATGAAGCACCTTGTCGTTTCAGAACTATCAGCGTTGTGTACCAAGCTGATTGGCGGCTATAAGTATATAGTGAGTAATATTTAAGGTTAATTTGCATTCCCCGTTGGTCGATTATGTTGCACCTAATGTGTTCTGTCTAAGCTGATATGTCGCCTCTTCGGTATGTACGCTTTCACGATGTCTGAAGATCAACATGATGTTATTTTTAGGTGAAAGTGAACTTACAGTGGAAAGTAAGGTGCGCGTTTCATCCGATTTGAAACTGGTCAGTTGGATATGCCTAAATCCCCCAATTAGTGGTGAATCTTCCACTGGGACTCGAACCCTGCACCTATCGTTTCAAACGTCAAGCAAGGCGTTAACCACGAGAGCCACCACGTCACCCACTGGGGTGCAGTGAGTCCTAAATGGGACGAAATGAGTATCTTAGATTCCACTGCTAGTTAACACCTACCAAAATTTCATTGAGTAATAATTTTTTTTAGATGTGAAATATTGTCTTTATGTTGTCTAATCTATGAATATTTATTCGTTTGAATTTCCGCTTTATTTTCCATTACTTTTTTTCTCTCCACAAGAATGAACACCCTTCAGCTAGTGACGATGTGGAAAAGAGGAGGACGATGGATAATGTCTACTGTTCATCAAAGCCGCAATCACTGAATCGTATTATCATTCCTAATGCAACACCATCTTCAGTGAACAGCATCAATGAAATGACTCCATTAATGGAACGTTCTACAGAAGACTTCTCCCTCCCATCAACAATGTCTCGAAAATACTTAAAACAAGGTGCTTGTGATGGTGGTTGTGGTGGTAAGACAACTGTAAATCCCTGTACTTCATCCTCTTCATTATCATCGTCATCATCACTTCTGCTGTGTCGATCATCCGTCTTATCACCATCATCTTCATCACTGTGTAAATCAATCAAATCGCCGTTAATCTTTTCAATGTCTGATCTGCTCCAATGTGATCATTCTGGCGTCGTCATTACTACTAGCAGTAATACCAATCAGAGTTGTAGTGGTAGTATGCCTACTGCCAGATGTTCTCCATTCCCCCCGATGACTATTGCTGTAGCTCCATTCGCTCGTGCTGAACTAACCTGTATATCTGATACCTCAGCCTACGATGAAATTGATAATTTATCACCAGCATCAACGTCTACACTGGTGTCGAACAAATCACTGACACCTAGTCCTGTCATCATTAGTAGTAGTAATACTAAATATCCGACTGTAAATAGTAACAAGCTTGGTAATGGTGCTGCAAAAAGTATAAAGAAGATTTTAAAATGAATGAATGGATTGCATGTTGTGTTTTTGTGCGTGTTTCTCTGTTTCCACACACACACACACACCACCTCTTTGTGTCTTCTTTCCAACCACCTTTCTCTCATGCTTGCACAACTGATTCACATATATGCGCATACAGTGTTTTATACTACTTAAATGATCTCATTTCAGTACTATATATATATGCACATATATACTTATTTTTTAACGATTTTTTCTTTTATTTTTTCATGTCTCCACATCTACAACCAAATAACCACACCTTGTGTGTGTGTGGATATTTTTCCTAGTCATTCCTTTGTAATTCTGTCTGTCTGCATTCACAACGTGATGTCTTTGTAAATTCCAGGCTTATCTCAGTGTCAACATTAAAAAAAGCTTTTTTAAAATCACAAAACAAAAACAGAAAACGCCAGTATTTCTGCTCCAACTATCATCCTGTAGAATATGATTCCTGAGGTGGGTGGAGTTTATCCGATTCAAGCACTGGACTTTCGACAGCAGCGACAGCAACAACAACAAATTCCCGACGGGTTCGAATCTCACTATGCCTATCTCATTCAGCCTGGGAAACTGAACAGTGGTGGTCGTAGTAGTAGTAGTAGCAGCAGCTAGGTGTGTACTACTGAAAAGATTTTGTAGTACATATATGTTTTCAAATAATAAAAATTTAGCCTATATTGCCCTGATATTGAGTTGTAACAAAAGCAGAACGACTCGAAGGAGGAGAACCTATGCGCGCTACTCTTCTATTGTGGCTGCTTGTTGTAATGCGTTTATTTTTTTCACAATATGAGTGAATATCACAAAGGAACAGGCTGATTGTTTTTGATTTTCTAACAACTGTTCTATTATTCTATTCTCTACACACCAGTAGTACTATTTATGTCTTCAGTTAATGGCTCTTTTTTCTGTTTTTTGTCTTTTTTGGCTCCAATTACACATTCCACGCAGCCCCACCCCCACCCACTCCACTCCACTGTCACTGTTACTCTTCACTCACTTTTTTTTGAACGAAAGCTACTCATCACATCACATCACGTATATATACATGATTCTGTAAATGATTTCCGTTTCAGTTATTGTCATTATTTTTCTTCGTGTTTGTGTCTTTTCCCTGTCAATTTTGACATTTCCCTTACTTTTTCCAGCAACTTGTAGAGTTGTGTACTTTGACGTGTTTTTGAGTGTGTGTTTGTGTGTTCGCGTGCGTCGGATTTCCCCCTACAGAGACATGTCATATGTGCCATCATTCTTCCTTTCAAACAACTCATCGATGTACAAGACGACGTCTGGGTGGATGCATTCCAATAATAATAGTAATAATAGGCATGGTAAATGTGAATGTTCAATCTTTCTCCTGTATATTTCGTTTCTATCGTAACAGTAAATTGACGGGTGGATAGTGTTCTACACTCATGGACCCGCCCACGCACACACACACAGGCATACACACAAAAATTGACAACAACAGCAGCACAAAACCTACTGAATATTATGTAATCGCCAAGGGACAGAAGGAATTTGTTTTTGTAATACTCTGTTGTCTTGTCGGTGTATAAATTCGCATAATGGTTTACACATTATTTTTCTTCAGCTAAATACTCTTGATATAACATGTAAATGTTGTTATTGTTGTTTATCTATCGGTTGAATCATCCGCCTAATGTGTTGTTGTTGTGTGTGTGTGTGTAAATTACAACCATAAAGCTTAATTTTTGTTATCTTCTGTCTTTATGTCTACTCCTCCTGGCTGGCTGGCTGGATTCAACATAGAACTTGGCACCGAAGTGCAGCAGTTCCAGTTGCCACGTTCCAAAGAGCACATAAAGGTAGACAAGAAGATGGGTGAAGAGAACCAATAGAGTTTTGACAAGTATACGAGTGAAACAGAAAGAGTAATGGTAGAAAGGAATATGAAAGATTACAGAGACTGAATATATCTGCGTAAGCCATTGACAACGATTTTGAGCCATGTCACCTATTGTCTCCAGCCATTGATTCTTAGAGTCCCGAGGGCGGGCCCCAACCCGAAAGTCTGCATCTCCCTACCTGACTCAGTTTAACTGTCAAGGATTTCATGGATTGATGCCATGTTTTGGTTTGGCCACCACTTACTCTTTTCCAGCCTGCACCTATATCAGCTAGTAATGCCCGTCGGGGTGGGGGAGGCGATGGTTAGTAATGCGCACCACGTGACCTAGCCATCTCAATCTATGTAACTTCATAGCCTCTTCGATTGATTTTCCCTCTTTGCCCAACACTCTACACCTAACGTCAACATTACTTACCTTATTATGCCACCTAACGTGAGAAAGAGATCGAAGACATCTATGATCAAAAACAGTCAACCTTTTCATGTCTTCAACTCGTATTGGCCATGTTTTAGAGCCATAGAGAAGGACATAGCGAACTGCTGAGCAGCACACACGTCCCTTGGTTGATAGCCGGATGTCACGCCTACGCCAGAGACGGTGTAAGTTAGCGAAAACGGCCCGAGCTTTTTGGATCCGTGTTGAGATTTCGTCACCAATGAATCCGTTGGTGCTGATACAACTTCCTAAATAGGTGAAGTGGTCAGCATGTTCTATCACTTCACTCCCTATCAATAAGCTAGGAGTTGACGTAATCCAGTCCTGTAGCAGCATCTTACATTTTACAGGGGCGAATCGCATGGCAAACATACGAAGATTGCTGCTCAAGGTGTTCAGAAGACTCTGTATTTTGTCAGCATCCTCCCCTAACAGGATTATGTCGTCTGCATATTCTAAGTCCATAAGATTATTCCCTGGTAACAAGTCGATTCCTAAGTCGTTAAGTTCAGTTAAGAATACTTCCATTAGCATATCTGCTCCTCCATTTGTTGATATATTCATTGACGAATTCCCCTTTTATGAGTCTTGAAGAGAGAGGTGGAACCAAACTGTTATGACTGGAACTACACGAACCAGTAGGCAGATATTATGAGCGCATACTGACTTAATGCTCTGGTTGTTAATCTGTCCTAATCGCCAGTCAACAGTAACACTTCCAGCACGCAGAGACAATAGGAAAGACTGGATATCGATATGAGAGTTTTTACTGTAGCAAACAACAGTCAAAATGCCAGGGAGAAACTCTGCATATATATACAGCTAGAATGACCTTGAAACTGTTGTAATTCAGTGATGCATTCAAAGTATTAACAGCCAATAGAAATCCAGCAGTCCGAACAGAGGGAAAAACAAAGGGCTCACACCAGTGCGCGATAACTCCTTAAAGCAGCTATTTTAAGGTTTAAGGCAAAACTAGATGTGTATATAACACTAACATCGGTGCAGTAACGCTGCTTGAAATGTTCTTTAGACATGATGAGACTAGATTAAAACTATGCACTACTACTGATTCATTTAAATGAGTAGTTAGTTGTATACCGCTTACATTAAACCAAATCAAAATGATATAAATACCGAATGGCTGTATCGCCGGTTTTGTGTCGAGCTCCTCATCAGCGGTGTACACGGTTTTTACCCAGATCAAAGAGCCGATGACTGATAGAATTACCAGTGTGAGCCAGGTAGCTAGCCAGAAGTCTGATGGTTTGAACCGGACTGGGTCTTTCTGAACTGAGTTAAACGGGGTACATCGTGGATGAGCTCATCGCGAAACCAGAGAAACTACCGTCCAATGTTTAGACCACTTCTGTCTGACTAATTAGCAAGCACTACTGGTTGATGTGAGTAGTATACAAAAATACTCGTCTTAATCGAACAGAAGTATATAGTTTTATGCGAATATGCTTGGATTTTTTTTGATTGGACACTAGTCAGTAAATACAGTAATGTGTCTAATTCTATATTTGGTGCAGACTGAGTCAGTCAGCTAGGCGTATCTGCAACCTTGAAGGAATTCATTTCCCTTCTGAGATTCAAACCCCCGTCGCCCAGTACTGCAGTCAGTGAAGTTATCACTGAGCTATTCAGGCTAGCGATTGACCTTCAGTAAAACTGTATTGGATATCTAATACCGACAATTCACAGTGCACCATGGTGGCGAACCACCTAGTGTTATGGTGGCCACATTCCAAACTCGACTGATAGAATTCAGTCTGCACCAAAGATGGGAATAGTCACATTACACTAGTTACTGACTAGTGCCCAGTGAAATCTATCTAATACAGTCCTACAGGAGGTCAATCGCAAGCCCAAATAGCTCAGTAGTAAGGTCTCTGACTGACTGCAGCACTGGCTGGTGACGTGGGTTTGAATCTCATAAGGGACATGAGTTCCTCCAAGGTTGCAGACACGCCTTACTGACTGAATGGTGAGTGCCAACTAGCACGAACCTTAGGTAAAGCAAGGCTTCCTGCCTATTGATTGTCCCCAACCATCTAATACCAAATATGCTTGCTGTCTTAAGTACCGATTTTGGTTGGTATCCAGCAGATCACATACTGTATTTGATCTGAATAATTCCCATATCCGAAGGTAACTGTGGTGAAATTTCACCTTCCCGAACTGTGTAAATTGCGAATTCGATTTATGACTAGAGATTTTGGAATTAGTGTAGAAAGTTACTGGTTAAAAATATTGACTAATCTCGGTTTGAACCAATCAGTTGTGTCGTCGTTTGTTGCCGATGTAAGTCGATTAACTGGCTGAATTGATTCTCAGCCTCTGTGTCTATTGTACTCACAAGTTTTTTCGGGACGTGGACTATTGGATCCGAAGTGAGGTTGTCTCAGTCTTAGCGCAATTTAGCTTCACACATACGTTTCAGGAAAGCCTTCATATAACTTTTTTCACCAGTGTCTTGAACAAGATTTTGAAGAAGTATAGATAAGTTTTGTGTCGATAATCTTGGGTGAATTGGTTGAAATTCACTTTGCATACGATATTTAAGTCACTGACAACATTTTTGACTGAACTAGCTCTCCATCACTGAGTTTTTTAATCAGTAAATTCATCGACTCAGTGTAGGATTTCGTCACACATCAAAGACTTCAAAACAGAAGGAGAGAGTCTACACCAACGAAGGTTTTTCAAAAACTGATGAGGAAAACAGCATGGGCGTAAACACTCAACGTACGGTCATTAGACGATCCAGTGACTTGAATGATTCAACAGGGAGACAATTCTTTAAAAACTTTATACATTAATTACCTATTATGAATTTGAACAGAAATAGAACAAACCTTGGTGTTGAAAAGCAGTCAAAGCCAGGGTGCACTCTTAAGACCTACATTAAGGGGACCCATCAGCTAGGCGTGTCTGCATTCCTCAGTCTCCCAGTGAGACTCGAGCGCAACAGCCGTCGTCAAAAGAAAAAAATGCCAGTGTTATTTACTTGGCCACAAAGCCATTTCAGGTCCTAGCAAGCGATGCTTTGGTGATATCTTGAAATAAAGCTGGTGTTATTTTGTCGATTGAAATCATGACGGTGAACAGAGTCTGAGTGTGTAGCTCTTATACAATCAACCAATAGGAAACTTATCGAAACTCCGATCAATAAAAACTAATACCCTGTGGTGGACCTGTCCATAGGCTCGGTGGGCCTTTGTCACATCGAACCAGGTCAAAGTAATGTAAAATACTCAAACAGTACAACAAACACACTTACTAAGAATAACAAAAACTCACAGTAGACAGTTACTTGAGGTTAAGCTTTGGTCCATTGGAGGAACATATATAGTATTACAATCCAGAGGTCCATGTGTCGTTTATTCCAATGATTCTTCATCATTCTTGATTCGCTAATCTGTTCCGCGTTTAGAATCAGGATGTGAATTTCTTGTAAGTTTCCAAACGGCTCGATCAACTGTTATAATGCCAACCAACCAGCTACTGGTGTATTTTATGTAGTATGCCAAAAAAATTATTTGTAGAAAATATACAGATGAGATAAATAAAGGATTGTTTCAAACAAAGGATCCAACATGATAAATTTTGATTGTAACGACCAAATTTATTCGGTTATGGTGTG